AGCAGGATAATTACATGGAGAAAAGTAGCTGTCCTCTACGGACCTCTACTCTCTACTTTGACCTCTCTGATCCTGTCGGGTTAAATCGGATGCTGGCTGCAGAACCTCTGGAGGCAATATGCGAGCAAGTTCTTAATTGTCGTGTGCTGAGGACAAAAAAGGGATTTCTGTAGTTGGATATGGAATTGAATGGCATGTAGCGTTGGATTTGCTTGGGCTGAGCTCTCTTCTCTGATCTTGACTGAAAGCACTTTCTTTACGGAGCCGTTCTTCAGTCTCCTGGCTCTGCTGTGATGTTGAACTGAGTGCAGTAGGAGTGTGGCTGGACTCTTTGCTATTTCCTAGCTTTGGAAGTTAGGGTACGAGGGAATGGCAGCTAAACCTGCATATGCTAAACAGAATGGCGATTTTATTTGCACACTGGGGAGGCTGGAAAGAAAATGCAAGTATCTACTACGTCTAAATCTTTTTATTAGCAGAGAAACATTTGAAAACTCTGTCCTTCTAGTAACTATAATTTTCCTGCAACTGCATCGTATCCTTTTTCTAGTTTCTAATGTGCGTTAGTGTCCACATCTCTTGTCTGTCGGTAACTTAGTGTAGCATGGTCTGACTAAAGGACATAGCATCTAGCATCAAGGTGGGACATGGATAATGTTTCTTTGGTTTTTTGATCCCTGGAATAGCTTATTGCGTTGAAACCTTGAAGAGAGGGACAGGCTTGTGGTGGACCGCTGCTGTAATCACTTCGATGATAGCTTAGTCACAGTTTTTCCTTCCTAAGCTACACATTGTATTGCTTGAAGAAAAAAATTGTTTTAGTATTCCTGCATTTTGTTTCACATCTCTGAGCACAAGTTGATAGTGGATTGCTGTGAATAACCTTATGCACACATCAGTGTTTCATTCATGCCAAAGGGGATTCTGAGTTGGACTCAAGAGTAGTTGTTTGTGCATTCATCCTGTCCCTCCTCCACATGTCCTCGTTCCCTTCTGCTGCTTCATCCTTCATCGCGGAGCACTTGCTTGCTATTGTGAAGAACAGCTGACCAGAACAACTTACAGAAGGGAACGACTTCCTGCCAAATTGGTGTAAGAAAACATGTGGGCAGCTTAAAACGATTTCTGTTGCAAAACCGACTGGTGTTATGTCGTTCAGGCCACTTGCTCACTGTGTTTCATGCTCGGTAGCCCCAGTGAATGATAGAATAAATGTGCGTGTGCTTTTGGTGACTGTGGACCTGATGCCTGAAATGCACTCGTCGGGAGTATGTGCAAGAGCGATCAGAACTGAGCATCCAAGAGGATTTTTTTTTAACAGGAACAATGATGAAGAAATATGCAGCTTCAGTGAAAAGGAGTGGTAGTGTTGCTGAGCATCATTCGTTTATTGAGTGCAGTGAGAATATTGTTGATCTAGAATTGTTTTTTTCAATGTATTTTTTCTTTCTCCCAAGGCTTTTATCCCGTTACTGTCTTAAAGGAGAAAAACGGTTCTGGAGGGAGTATAGGTGATACATAGTGGGCAAAACAGGCAGACTGGTGTGGGAGGCAAACAGCTTTTCTTTATTGCTGTGCTGGGAGAGATGGATCTGTGCCATTGACATGTCTTTTCCTCTAAAGCAGATCTTCGCTTTTCTGAGCGCAAGCAAAGAGGCAGCCTGCCGCCCTGGAGGGGACAGACAGGGAGGAGTTGGGAGAGTGTTGTGTGACTGTATTTTTTGTAGTGCGTGACAGCGTTTCTTCAACCCCTGATGGTATTGGGAATTTTTGTTTTGATTTGTACCCTTGCCAGCATTGTGGCAGAGAAGGCAGGGGGAGAGCTGGTGGGTGCAGGGGGTGTATGCCTCATCTGAGGCTGAGAAGGCCTCTGCCACGCTTCCTTTCCTACGCTTCATCAACCCATTGTGCTACTACCACAAAAAGCAGTTTTGCTGCCCCAAGGTTGGTATATCACCCTTTAATTGGAAAATTTCAAGTTGGTTGTTGTTACTGAAACTTTATGCTAACTTCCACATGGGCTTCTATTCGAAAGAGAAAATAGGATGCTTTGGGGGGAAACTTCAGTCTTTTAGTGCTCCGTATGTTCCACTCAAGTGTAGGGTGTTTTTAAAAAAAACCCAAAACCTACTGTGCAAGTCATTTGGTAAAAATGGTTCTATACCGTGACGTTGGTATAACTGCCATCTCTTAGGCCTTTTAACAGCTGATGTAATGGAAGCGTGCAGCTCGTGGTCTGTGTTCAGATAAGCCCCAAGCGCTTGAACCAACATGTTAAAGTAAATAACGGGAGTTGTTGCAACACGGTACTGCGGGTGCAGGTTTGTGAGGAAAGGCTGACTGCTTCTGTAAACTCCTAGTGCACAGAGCCATTTTGTGTCTCTTCTGCACAGGTAGTCTTGCAGTACCGCTGCTGGTTCTCCTTTTTATGAGAAGTTGGTTTCAGGCAAGCCACTTAACAAAAGAGTGCACTTTTGCTGTATTTCTCCCGTGTTCATGTAGACACCTGTTATATATTCTTGATCCTGACCGCCAAATAAAAAAGGAGGGGGGGAGGGGAAGCTGTGAGCATCTTGGCTTCTTACTTGATGCTAGTCTGATATTGTACAAGGGTTTTAAAAGCTTTAAGACACAGCAGTTGGGTGACTCCCCCCAGCTGTTCTGACTCAGGAAAGGTCTCTTGGTGGTTTTAGACATGAGAGGGAGTTCAAAGTGCCAGTACAGAAGTAAGACTGGAGTTGTTCATGCGGCAGGGAGGTTGGTTTTCTTTAGTTCTGCTGCTAACTGGACATTTCTGTGGTTGTGAAAGGGAAGTGTTTTAAGCATCAGGTTTGTGTGCACCCCAGATCCAAATTGAGTAGTAGAGTTTTTAAGTAGATCTATGTGCCGCACGGAGCTTTGTAAGCGCCTGTTGGATTCCGAAGGTTGACCATGCTTTCACCATGCGTTGTGGGTTCCTTTTCTCACGACAAGAAGGCATAGTGTTCGTCGTCGCTGCGGAGCCGAGGACAGCTGGTCCTGATGGAGATGTGGCAGTGGGTGCTGGCGGTGGGTTTCCACAAGCGCTGTCACGAGAGCCGCCTTCCAGCAGAACACAGAGCTATTAGCTTTGAAGTTTCAGGGAGCGGGAGAGAGCTTCCTAGAGATGGGAGACACGGAGTTTGACTTAACAAAACAATGCGTTGGGCAACGGGAGATCTGAGGTTTAGTCCTGAGGGTAACAGCAATTCGTCATGACTTGATAACGCAAGCTATTTAATCCTTTATTTCTGTTCCCGTGGCTTTTCTTGTCCCTTGATCTGATCAATATATGTATCTCAGTGTCTGTGTCTGGGGTTGCAAATACGTGGACAAGCATGGGTCGCTGGCCTTCTGATATTGTTGAAGCAAAATGCTGTCAACTTAACAGCTTGTCTGTGTGTCAAGAGTTTCGGGGAACAGAGGTCTTGTTCCTGTGCGCGTATATTGCAGGTGGTGCAATAAGAGTAGTCTGTCTTCTGTTCGGAGGTTTTGTGGTACAAATGAGCGTGTGAGCTGCCCTCTGTTTTGGGGTTAAGTTTGGCTTTAAGATGGGAGTTGGGAAATGCGCAGAAGTCAGTCGTTTGCCAACAGGGAACAGGAGTAAACTGCTGGTGGGAATTGTAGCTGATTTACCACCACTGTAGTCACTTGCAGATGCAGGGAGGAATGAAGCCAAGCTGACTAGGCTAGTTGTTGAAAGTCATGCTGACTGAGAAGTGCTTCCTGGCAGATTTAGCATAGCAAATCTGAAGCGTCTCTTCGTGAAGACTGGCAAAGTCGGTGGTTTCCCCTTTCGTAGCTTCACAAATGGAGCGTGCTCTGTCAGTGAAAAGTCACCGTGTAGTGGTGTTAAGGGAGGCTTCCTCTTTGGGAATTTGTTTTGAATGGACATAAGATTCTGGGGTTTTAGATCACAGGTACTGAGAGATAGGAGGGTGGTCTTGCCTATGATTGACATGAATAGTTGTAAGTGCCTGTCCTCTTTTTTCTCGGAATCTGCACAGTTCGCCGAATTCAGCAGCTTCCTTGGCATGGACTACAGAGAAGCTGCTTTGGGTCATCCGAGGCCTGGCCTCACTGCAAGAAACAAGTGTGCGTTCAAATCTGAGGGAACCACTCTTGTATTAACAGACTTCAACTGTAGTGTTAGAAAATCTGGGTGAAGGCAAGGCCCCACAGCACTGTTTCTGCATAGAGCTTTATTGCTGCTCGCTTTGTCTACATAGAAGTTATGACGTCGTGTTTCCATTGTTCAGCTGTGCTGATCTACAATCCTTGGAATAACAACTTGTTTCAGCTGGAAATGGATGGGTGTGCACAGTTCTGAAATGAAACTTTAACGGAGTGCATGGAGCCAGTGAAAGGGAAGAGGTGAAAAATATTCCAGAAAAAACACTTGTGAGAAGTTGGGCAGCCTTTAGTTGCGTTAAGCTGCTCTAAACTCCCATCTCAAAGGATTAGTTAAGGGTCTTGATCTGTTACAGCAAAGCCTGAGAGTGACAGAGAAATGGCTGCTTACTGAGCTGTGAAAAGAAAGCTCAAGATAATTCTCCTTGAAGACTCTGCAGGCAACAAACATGCAGACAAGCTTTCTGAAACTCAACAGTGATTGAGATGATAAATTATCATGGGCACTTCAAGCTTGGCTCTCACAGAGTCAGCAGAGTTGAAACTATGCATTTGTGCTTTTAACAGCTCAGGATTTTTTTTTTTTTTGAGTTTTCACTTTTTCCTTAGGTGTCATTTAGAAGGAGGATGTTTCAAGATTTTGCATCGGTTGACACGGATCTGTCAGTGTAGCGAGGCGCCTCATTGCGGGCTTGGAAATGCTTGTATTGAGAACGCATCCATTAAATCTATCCGTGGGGTATATAGTCAAGGCAAAAGGTGAGTCCAGTGGAAAAGGAACGTGACCAACTGTTAGAGAAGGATTTTCTCTTTCTTGTGAGCTCACCTTCCTTAAACAAGGCTTAAGAGAATAATTAGTCCCTTGAAAGTAGGGCAGTGAGGAATAGGATGTAACAGTGCACAGCAGGACTGCTTAGTCCTTTTTCAGTAGTGTACGCATTGTTCAGAGATGCTAACGTTACTGTGAATCGAGGTACTCTTCAGGTGGACGTCCCAAATCTTTCATTAAGAGTGGAGTCACACTTGATATTCTTCCCAATTTCTACAAGTTGAATGAGCAAACGGAATGAACTCGATACGGCTGTGTTGTTCTGTACTCCTTATGTTCTCAGTATTCCTTATTTCTTACTACTCGATCCATTGAAGCTGGCCACGTTGTGGTTAGGGGTCGGTCTGAGTCTGTGGTGATGGTCCTCAGGATGTGTTTGAAGTGCAAGCTTATCCAGGGAGATTTACAGTCCTTGACCTGTCCTTCAGCAGCAGGAGAGGTGGGAAAACTCTAAAATGGCATTTACGTAGCGCAGAAGGCTCGTCTTGGAGCGCCTGTGATACAGTCCGGGTGCAGAATTGGCTAGCTGGTCAGAGGCAGCGTAACCCGTCTAAGCTTTTTACAACTGTCATGAATAGGCTCTGGTTTGTGTGGCCCTATAAGTAACTTGTTAAGTAGCTTAAGTGATGCTTACCTCAGATCCTTGAGACAGTGTCTTAGGGGGCTGCAGTTTTTGTTCCAGCCTGACATTGGGGGTTTTGGTGACGAGGGGAGAGGGTGATTTCGGGAAGCTCAGTCGCATCATGTCTTCTCTACGTGGCTGTTACGTGTCCCCCTTTATTGTGTCTCTCCGATAGACTTGTATTGTTTGGGAAGATGTGACAGGTTACTTGCTAAGGGCAGCAAAAATTGCCTGTGTAGGATCATGCTGTCTGTTTAGTATCCTTCAGTTGTCAGGGTTATTGTGCAGAAAGCTGCTTCCATTTTGTTTTTGCGGCAGTATGGGAACAACCTTTGTTGTAGGTGCTAGCTGTTTGTGAGTGGCTCTGATGCAGAAGACCACATCTCAGGGTTGGTCCAGACGCAGCAGCAGTTCGAGTGAGTTATTCATGCACTGCAAGACTTTGGCTTCGGTGGTCAATTCCTTGCAAGTCCACTCCAAAAGAGACGGTTTCTTTCAAAGGCTCATGTTGAGCTTTTTTGCAGGCCTTGGAGGGAGAGTGAAGGTGCATACCTGTGTTTAAGTGGTTGGATTGGAAGTGTGTCAGGTTTTTGATTGTTAATGTACAGGTATTGTCTGAAGCTAAGCTTTCAGAAGCATGATGGCGGGCAGTTTTGGAGGAAATGTTTTGATTTTTTTATTTTTTATTTTCTTTATATACTGTTATTTATGACAGAGATCAAAACTTGTATTTTTTTTCCCCCACTTAAATGTGAAACTGGGCCAGGGAACTTAATAACATGGGCTGAGGTGGTGTTACTTTTACACGGGCACGAAATTTTTCTTGCACGAACAACTGCAGCTGAATAGCAGTTAATGCATAAATTTGCTTAATGTGGAAGTATGCCAAGTGTTGGGAATGAACATCGGAAATGGGAGAAAATACTAAACTGAAGGTGTCTTTCCTTGTAGTTCCGCAATGTTCTTGTAGCTATAGGTCTCGAACCTACCTGTCTTGCTCTTGTTGTTTGTGGTGCTGGGCGATACGGACTACAGAGGAGAGGAGGGAATTTTCATGTGAATACATCAGCACCTGTCTCGTCATCAGAAACACACTGCAGTAATAATGCAGGTGTCCCTGCAGCAGAAACTCTGTTGGTGCCAGTCATTGAGGATGGTGTTACGCCGTTTCAGCAGCATGGGCTGTTACCCTCTCCCTCCCTCTTTTCCCCTCTCCCTTCCTCCCCCCCCGCCTTGTATTTTTTGAAGCAGCAGCAAGAGAAATGGAGTGTACAGTTGATAGAATAAAATGAAAGAAGAGACTGTTGAGACGTTCCAGCTGCTGGACTTCAGGTTTCTGCTGAAGGAGGCTTTTAGGTTTGGGGAGGGTCATCGCATGTTTGAAAGACAGCAGCTCTGGTTATGTATCCCAGGTAACTGGAAGCAGTCCTCACCGTACAGGGCGGAAATGCTGCTGTAAGACTTTGTGACTGCGGTGACGGCGCTGCTGTAGTAGATTGGTAGGGCAAAGGAGAATCACACAGCTTGTTCCTGTTTCAGAACAGATCTGAAGAAAAAAACCACAAAAACTGCAAGGCTGAAGTGGACTAGGCAGAATACTCTGCTTCACTTGGCTTCAGCGTATGCTTTCCTTTTCGGTAACAAGGAAGTTGATCTTTATCTAAAGAAAATGGTGTCTTGTGTAAATATCCAGCAAACCATAGCTTTCACTTCAGAGCTATATCATATAAATTAGGTGGTTTTGATGTTCTGTTCTGTCCCGACAAAAATGGCAAGCAATGGCCTGTCTTGTCTTCAGTCAAGTTTTGAGTGGAATTTTTAATATATTACATGATTAATGCCATCAAGATCTACAGCTTAGAAAGGCTTGAATCGTGTGTCACCGAGGTGGTCATTTCACCTGAAAGAATGTAGCCTTAGGTGAAAAGGCAGAAACATACACTTGGCCTTAATATTTAGTTTGATGAAGTCTCAGTCTATTCCCAGTGTTTTATTTGAAGATGTGTGCAAGTTGCTTGCTTTGTCTTGATGGTTCAGATCAGAGTACTTTTTCCAGAAAGCTGACTTTCAACTGAGATTGGTTAATGTGTGTTGAAAGTGTAACAGGTGATACTTGGAGGGCTAAAAGATCGCAGGGTAAGGGGGAGCAAGCATGAAGTTCTTGCCTTAATATGGGACTTGTGAGGGGCTGAAAAAAATCTCCTACCCTTTCTTACACTGAGCTGACCTGTGACAAAGATGAACAGAGAATGCAGCGCCTGTACGTTGTATGGGCGTTATCAAGTGCCTTTGGAATAATGAGCGTTTTGTCTTTCTAAGACTCCAGATGATTTCTTGACACTTAAAATTGAAAGCCGCATGTGAAGACTTTGACAGCCCATTGCGGTTAAAAACCTAATGGAATTATGCATCGTAATTTACAGAGTGTTTGGGTTGCCTCTTTGTATG